GACCTAAACGACAGAAAAAACAGTGAACTAGAAACGGAAACGCCAACGCCATACAACAGATCAAGATCATGTGCACACATCACTAGGGGCTTATAAGATACGCATCGACCTTTACAGTCTGCAAGGGTGCTGGCTGACTTGGGTTTTATTCAGACACGTTTCTAAGCTAATGTGGCCGGCGCATTTTAACTGTTGAACTCCTTTCTGTAATTTCTCTGAAAACGCAACACAGAACAGGTTATCATCCGTTGACTGAATATGAATACTGACAAATTATCTTCATCACATATCGTCCTCCCCCCTGAGTGTCTTGAAAACCACTCCATGAGATTCAGCGAACAACCCGTGCGATGCCTTTTCCGATTTTGAATTTGTTGATGCTTTCGAGCAACGTTCTGCCGACTGATGCAATTTTGCGAATCACAGCGCTGAGATCTCTGTACCGGCTATTCAGAACATTTAATACGGATTGCATGCAGATGCAGCCTGAGTCGAAGACCTTACCGATGCTGATAAATCCCAAACAGAGAGGAAGCTGATATTTTCTGCCTGTAAGAATGATGACGTACTACCTGAAAGTGGTCCATCGTATTAAGTTTCCTTCTCAATTCTTCTCGCTCCATCGGTTGTGTAGTATCAAACCTTCGTGAAGACTGGTAGTCAATATGAATAACGGTGTTAGCGGTGAACAGCTATTTAACGAATAGCTATAAACTATTAAATTAATACAAGAGCTCTTAATATTTCGATTCATTGGCTACTGTTCAGAAAATATTTGACCGGCAGTAAACAACTTGATGTATACTTTCCCCTAACATATTCACTTGTCTCCGCATTGGTGGTAATGCAAAAAACATTCCATAACAAACAACGCAATATAGCGTGACAAATCAATATCTATACCGAAGGTCGCCGGTACATCACCTGACAAACTTCCACGCTGCATTCTGTATAATATAACCATGTTTGCGTTCTCTTTTTTGCACTTAACTTTGTTGTGATAAAACCACTGTGCAAAAATCATGGAACAAGAAGTATTTTAGAAGACCTTCTATTTATGCTACAGGCACAAAAAAGTATCCATTTTGAACCGGCGTTTCGCACAACAGTCGCTGACCAACATCATGGCATATAGAATGTTTTTCTACGCATTTTTATGAGCCCATATAAACCACAACGAAGATCTATTCAGAACGCATCATATTTCAGATATTGCCATTAATTCAGAATCAATTTCAGTGCATAACAATCAGGGTAAAATCCTTTTTCCTGTCACTGATTCCGATTCACATGGAGCAGCTGCCCACCGTCCCTTGTTTCTGGTAACTCGAGGCCACAGTCCTGTGGCGTTTTAGCATATGTAGTGCATGGACGCAAAATCTACTCTGTTGGGTCGAACATCAACGGATACACACTGATTTACATCAGATATATACTGTGGGCATTTATGGAACATGTACCCTAATATTTTGGGTTCACAAGCAAATCGCTAGTTTTCAATGCCGTCGGTACAAATAAAGATCTGCTGTCACTTCTACGGATTGACATAGCGTGGTCGCACCGATCTCTTGCACGCCAAATCAGGTACTCATTATATATTATCCCCTTGCTTTTTCGAGTCCTGTCATCAATTCCTAAACTCGAGGATACTCACTGTCAAGTCGTTTTAGTCGAAGATCCACAACGCGACCGCCGTCGCCGTCTTTCAGGCCTGTGGACAGCAGCGATTTCCACGCAACTTCGACCGTCCATCGAGCGAGACTGCTGCCTGCATTAGCGGAAGTCGAGTCGTCCTCAAGCTGCCTTTGTTTTAGCAGGTAGCCGAACACCATGGCAGACTTTGCGGATGACCTGACGACGATCACCGGCTTGGATCGCAAATCAGGGAAAACGGGGATGTCGACGCTCCTCGGATAGACGTATGCCTGTAAGAGAATGTAAGGTACGCTTGCTCAGCGCTCGTCGCAAAACCGCAGCAGCGTCACGCCACAACTTACATCATTGCCGTTTGTCAGGAAGATGATGCCCTTGATTCCGTCGAACGATTCGAACGGCAACAGTGACGCCAACGATATCGGCACGTCGAAGTTCACCTCAGCAATCTGGGAACCAGTGATCGGATCAAAAACTACCAAACGTTTGTGACCATTCAGCTGGATCGATAAAAAATAATCATGTTTACAGAACTGAAAATATAAATGCAATAGCATAAACTGTAAGCCATTTTCAGTTATAAACACTCAGTTAACGTCCAAATCATGATCCCTCTCTCGCTTCGAATAAAATAAATGCAGCAGAATACCGAATTTTTTGGTTCTATGCCTAAATGTACTTTACTTAGAGCGAAATCCGCCAAGACCAGATTTAATGGCATAACGCATCACCCTGCTTCTAGTTACGTTGGCAGCGTGTATGGTTTCATGGTATTTGAGCAGGGGGCAGTGCAACATGACGTGAAATCAGGTCTGTGAAAAATCGTACGCAAACTAAACAACAGAAGAGTAGTTTGCTTCGCAGGTTTGGCTCTGTAATAACCAACTGCAGGCTTCAGAATACTGCAATCCCAGGAGATGCTCAGTTTGACGATAGAGGGATGACAACTGCAATGGTTTGGACTTGATATCAGAGTGCTAAGATACTTGCAAGGTAAATTTTCTAAGGAAGAGTCATATGGAAGACAGCTAGAAGGCAATTCGACGACCCGATAGCAAGGTTAGATTAACCATCTAATTTCGTCTTGCCTCAGAGTCAGGAAAATAAAAAGAAACGCAAGTCTGTAACCACTTGAACGTCAGTCTGATTAACCATTCATGCCTGGGTGCCAGTTGTGGCATCCTTCTTCTGTAGAGCTTAAGGTGTGTCGTTGACCGCTTTTATAACATTATGACACTGCTGCTCCTTAGGCTATAACTGCAGTAAGAAGACCATATGCTGTGCTTCCTTCGGTTTCCTTCTCACGCAGTGATACTCGTTTATCTACATCAGGACGATGAAAGGCGAGTGAGCAAACCGGTGTTTTAACAAAGAACTACTCGACTGTGAGTCTGATGTTTCCGAATGTCCAAAATCGGCTAAATCGTTCAGTCCGCAGATATTGCCGGATTGTGGTTCAGCCCCAATTTGAACATTCTTCATAGGTTGTTGCCCTCGCGAGCAAAACAGAATAGTCAAGTCAGAATGAGTGAATAACGGTGTAATATGGCCATTGCAGACACCCGTAAACAGTGTACCAGTGCATCAGCACAAAGTCTGAAGCCGTAAAGTTTAGTCAGCTCCAATGTAACTCTTAATTATTTAAATACGGTCTAAGAATCCGACTATGTCTAGCTTACTCACGCTCGGTAGTTATGAGTAGTTGGTGCTGGACTAGGACTACATTTTATGTAATAGGACTGGACAACCTTCATGACCTATGCGATGTCATTAAAACCCTTGGACGCCCACGAACTCTATCGATTTACCGATATATATCAATAGCAGTTTCTTCTCCAAATACCTGCAGAAATTGGGAAAGAATATCTTAATAACGACTGAATTAGGGATAACTTAGAGGAATGCGTGGAAGAACTTCAGTAACAGTCATGGATCATTACATGGCAAACTCATTGAAAACGTATCCTTCAAACTCAGGTCATCCTGAAATTTCTGAGGAAACAGCTAGCTGAAAGGAACCTGATCCAAAGCCAACGAAAGTCTAGCGGAGACTAATTGAAATCATGGGGATATAACATAACATTACATCAAACTGGTACCTGTCAGTTCGCGTCCAGGATATGCTTGTTCCTACACTGCATCTTTATATCGCAGTAATATAAGGTACATTATATTTCTGAACAATAATTCATCGTCTAGTCGATTGGAAATTCAAGACATCAAAAATATCGAATCATCTAAAAACTGGTTCCTTTGTAATTTTTAACGCGACCTATCTACCAAATAAAACTACAAATACATCAGCAAACAACAGATACTGACTAATTTAAAATGATATTCAATTCCATATTTATTTTAAAATAAATACAAAATTTATTGCTTTTATAGCGTAATGACGTATAACGTAATGACTATCACCAACTAAGCAGCGTTAGAATCGAAGCATGGTCGTACGCCAGCGTACGTCAGACAACTCATACATCCTCCACGGAAAGATCAAATGCCATGTTCGCCTGCTTAAATAGCCATTACACCTTCCTCAATTTGACCTCATGTTTCATGAAAATCCGCGTATTTGGCGTACAGGTGAAACGTGTTTAAAACAGGCCACGTAGCCCTGAATCCAACATCTAAATGTTCTATGAAACATACTCATGGGGCAATTAAAAGCTAAAAGATAATATGTGATGAAATACACTAATTTTAAGAATCAAATAAGGTCGAGCACACCAGCTGATGAACTCGTATTTTGAACCGTTTTCAGAAACCATAAAAGAAATACAGGCTTGTAAAGTGCCGCTGATGTTAATAACATTAATGATCTAACCAGTAAAATGGTGTCAGATGCATTTTTCACTGAAGGCGGCTGAAATGGTTCAGAGCAATGAAACAGCACAAATGTTCATCTGCGCAACAAGGAACAATTTCACGTCATGAAATCCGGTGACTGAAGGAGTAATGCCCTAGGTAACATTGTACATGCTTGACGAACAAACGCAGAAAAATGACCGCTTAATACACTTGGTCAGTTTTTCTCTTACCAGAGCGGATTTCAGATCTACCGTGAAAAAACAACCATCTCTGTCACAAATGGCACTGCGAAACTACTGAAAAGATATCTGCCGACCGTTAAATAAAGACTCTGCAAAAGAATGGTCACTACAAGGAAAACATTCATAGCAGTTCGATGAAGAACAAAAGGATGCCATTAATCAGCGGTACCATTTACCACCCGCGCTTAATCGATCGGGACAAAAAGGTTTTTTTTCTTGGAATCGTTTCTTGCATGTTTGGTAACTATAGAAATAAGTGGGATGGTTGAGATGCAAAGTTTTACATTTGTGCTGATTCTTGAAATCAATTTAAATCAACGAATTTCCCTGGCATATGAACGTATATATTAAGGATAACCCCATAACCCCCATCATTAAAGGTTTGCCAGCAAACTGCCAGCTTTCAATACCACCGTTAAGAAAAACATGCTTCCGTCTATTCTCCGGATTTACACGGCGAAGCGCAAAGTTGCCTTGCATCTAGGAGCCTTGTGGACCCTCTACGCAAGCCACCGTTCCATGGTATTTTAGTACCTACAGTGTTTCTCCGTGTAAATTCAGAGAACTGACAGAAGAATGGTACATAAATATATATTTCTGGCTGTTGTACAAAAGATAAGTTAGAGTGATATATGGTGGTATGCATGATATCAAAATTATTTTAATTAGTCAGAAAGCTACATAACCC